TTTCGTCCCGTACCTATAAAATATTTGGAATGATGACTCTAATTATATTTAATTGTGTATTAACGTATAGTTGATTGTGCACTTGAAAAATTATTATCAAAACACATTGTAATGTATTTTTCAAAAAGAAATGTCACATTAATTTACTAAAATCTTAAATCGTAATTGTAGGCTAATTCTAAGACTTGTCTTAGGAATTTGTGTGTAGGGGGCTTTTATTGCAGAGCACTTTTGTGAAACAACAAAAAGTGGAGACACAGTTAAAAGTTAAAAGTGAAACATATCTTAGGTGTTTTTCATGTAGCCTCAGCCCTCAGTCTATGTAGACAAACTCCGTAGGACTTTAGCCCCACCCCCCCCCCCCCCCCCCCCCTTTTTTTTTTTAATATATTAACTTTCAATTTCTCAACTTATACTAGAGGATATAAATTACGAATGGCCTTATTAGTGGCTTATCGGTCGATTGGTTGGAAGCAAAGAATTATGAAGGAAATAAATTGTAATTTGATGAAAATAAATTATGAATTCAAATCAAGACTATGTGGTCTAATAGTATCCGAATTGAACTTTCATTTGGAAGATTGTGAGTTGGTTCTTTGTGTTTTAGTAGGTTGAGAAAGTATATGAACAGATACTATATTGTAATAGAGCCAGTAGCATTCAAAAAATTATGAATTCAAATTACGTTGTTTGGCAGGAAGGAATAAAATTATTAGAATTGAGAATGAAAGAAGTAGTATAAATATTAAAATATCCTTGTGTATTATGTGTAATAATAATAATAATAACCAAAGTTAGTAGTGTCATTTCATCTATTTTTTCCTTTCTTTCCCATAAGCATAATATTGTGCCTCCCAAAGCACATTGATGTGCCTTTGAACACATTAATTTTCTTCCAGTGTATATTGTTGCACATTGTTGAGCTTTCCAGAGCATATTGTTGTGCCTTCCAGAGCATATTGTTGTGCTTTCGAAGTGTATATTTTTTGCCTTAAAGTATACATTGTTGAGCCTTCCAGAGCACATAAAGACATCGCCGCACTTGAACCTTACTATATATATATATATATATATATATATATATAAACAAAGTCTCAATAAAAGTTATACCCTTAATTTATGTCTATGTTTTTAGTGCTAACCATTTTGTAAATTGTGTTTTTAGAGTTGTATTATACAATTTTTTGGACAAAAATACTCTTACCATTTTAATTTCCATTATCTTTTTTATTATTTTTACCATACACATGCTTGCACCATATATTTTATTATATATTCTTTAACGATAATAATATTTGTAGACATTATATATTGAATTAATATAATAAATAAAATTTAAGAAAAATAGTCAAATACACTCCTGAACTTTATACGAAAAGTTAATTATGCCCCTGAACTCTTAAAAGTTGCAATTAAACCTATCAACTTGTTATTTCGTACATTTAAACCCAACAATAGTTTAATTACCTGTAATAGTATGTAAGTTACTGACGTGACAATTTAATAAATAAATAATAATAATAAATTAATATAAAATTTAAAAAATAGAAGACGGCAGCCATGGCTGTCATCCTTTGTATTATATTTTATTTTAAATTAAATTCCCCCGGCAAGAAGAAGATGTGTCCTCTGTATTTTTTATTTATTTTTTTAAAACAATTCCCCCAGTCAAGAAGAAGATGGCTGCCATTTTCTTTCTTTTTTCCTTAAAAAAAAAAAAAGAGTTTTCCCATTCTTCGCCTACATAGCTACCATCTTTTTTATTTTTTATTTTTTAAAAAAAATTTTATATTAATTTATTATTATAATTTATATTTAAAAAGTCAGGTCAACAACTTACCTGCTATTAGAGGTAATTAATCTGTTGTTGGGTCTAAATGCACGAAAATAACAAGTTGATAGGTTAATTGCAACTTTTAAAAGTTCAAGGGTGTATTTGACTATTTTTCCTTAAATTTTATTTCATTTAGATTTTAATTAGTAAGAATTTATTAGTTATTTTTTAAAATATAAATATTGGTGTTAGGAATAAATTACTACGTATAATAGACTAGTTTTTTTACGTGCTTTGCGCGAAGGGGATAATGCCCAATAATTATTTTTAAATAAGTATTCCAAAGTATATCAATGCAATATTATATAGAAGATGTTCATGCATAGGTAAATAAATGTTGAATTTATTTATTTAAATCTGTAATTTAAAGTATATAATTGCAAGATAATATATGAGAGATTGATTATAACTGTCACTAAAATAAACGTTTGCAACTTTTTAATAACGCTAGTCTAAATACTTAGTCTTAAAGCGATAGTCTAAATAAATACTACTTTTTGTTTAAATTTCTCTAATTCTTCTTAATTCTTTTTTGGGTGGCATTGTTATTGTTTTCATCTTCAGTACATGTCTTTTTTATTTTTATTGGTAGTGTGTCATGTGCAATTAGGTTACTGGTAGCAGAATAGAGGGATTCATCATGCAATGAGATTATGGTGTAGGAAGTTTTAGATTTGCCTTGTTGTGTATATGACTGAGATTTTAGTTGTAATATGAACTCTTTAGCGTACAAATACCTATTGATATTTAGTAGTGGTAGTTTTTTTCTACATATTTCATGTGTTGTGAGATGTGTGTCGTAGGTTATCATGTGAAAGTATTGAACAAAATATTAATATTTATTATATTTAATTTGTATAAATACTTGGTAAATAAATAAATAAATAAATAAATAAATAAATAAATAAATAAATAAATATATATATATATATATATATATATATATATATATATATATATATATATATATATATATATATATATATATATATATATATATAAAACATGTTTTGTATTATAATTTTGATATTTAATTACAAGATAATGTAAAAAAAAGACAATGAACAATGTAGTGAATATAATAAATTAATAAATTTGAAGGTAAGGAATTTTTGAATTGTAGAAAATCAAGATAATAGAACTAATGAAATTATATTTCTTTTTAATTTTTTTATAATGAATAATTTTTTTTTAAAAAAAATATTATAGACATCTAATTCTAAATTAATTAAATGCATATGCATTTTTTGTTGTAGCTACTAATTTATTTAATTAATAGGAGTAATAAAGTGTCGTACATACTTTTCTTCAACAATAATGAAATCAATGATTTTTTTTTTTTTAATTTCCATTCCTTGTTGAGACAAATTGTTTTGAGAGTTTGTCCATAACAATTGCTACAATTGCTGTCAATAGAGGATGATAATAAATAATTCAAAATATATGGTTACAATATATATTAATATAATGATATAGTAAAAATTAACTTACAAATTTCTTTAAAAGTTTTCATGCATTGATAAAATTTTGATGTGTAAACTTGTTCAATTGGAGCTAGTAGGATGTTAACATTGTCAATTATTTGAAAAATGATCTTACCGTTTTAGAGTCCATGTGTAATTGTATTTATGATCAACAACTTTGTAGTTAAGCCGCGCAGGTCTGACAATGATGTAAGAACAATTTTGTCTGATAAAAAAAATAATAGTATAATATTTGTAAAGTAATGTAGAATTGCACCATTATAAAAAAAATATAAAAAATATTAATACCATAATGGCCTAAATCATTCCAATAATGCAAAAGCATAATTGAAATATTAAGTTTTGTTCTAAATAATCCGAAGAAGATTAATTTTTTTAAAAAAAACTTAACCTAAATTTATTTTTTTTAATAAAAAATTCAAGAAAATCAAATGATTTTAAAGTAGTTCTTGATTTATAATATTTGATGCTCAACTTTGAATGCTATTTATTTAGTTGAGTTAATTATTTGACCAAAGTTTATGTTAAATTTTATATTATATATATTTTTTAATACATTTTAACATATTCATAATATATGTTTAACAATTATGCCAACTATACTTGGGATGAGGTTCGAACCTAAGACCTTATATACATTAAGAGTATATTAAAAATAATAAATAGTTAACGGAATATTCCGTTACTAAAGTTTAAACTAACGGAATTTAAGGTTATTTAAGGGAAAAAAAATAATATAATAGAGGGTAAATAAGGAAAATCATTAAAAGATACTAAAATCAAAATAATATGAACCATTCATTTTAAGAAACAATTAGTACCGACATTTTTTTTTATTCCAGTTAAGGGCCTAACATTATTCGCTCTTATTAGATTTGTATATGTAGATTTGTAGATGTAGATTTTGATATGCCAAAGTGTATTGTAGAACTCTTAATTTTATTTGTTTTAGATGTGTCATAGACCATGAAGGGAAATTAACAAAATTAGAAAAGGAAAACAGAGGAAGATGTATGCATATAAAAAAAAAAAAAAAAAAAAAAAAAAAAAAAAAAAAAGGAAGATGTATGCATATGATATGTATACTCAAAATCTCATCTACTCACCGATTTGAAGAAGAAGAAGACGTAAATTGAAGATTGCATGAAACTGACGTACAGATAGAGTAGTTAGAAGCCTGATATATTAACTTTAAAGTCTTAGGTTCAAATCTCACCCTCTATAATTTTAAAGAAGGCCAAATTAATTCTATGAGATGAAGTTTGGGCGAAGATTTCATGAGGTTAGATTGGCCGTGTAAAAATTTGGACACCTTTATTGTGACATGGACAATTTTGATCCTTCGTCTATAATCCCGTTAGTTGAACCTCTGAGAGGAGGATATTTCTGTCAATTCAAGCTATCTCCTTCTCTACCTTATATCTTTGTGTTGTCTTGAATTATCTGTGTTCTCTTGAATTCAGATTCAACGAAGGAATTTTATCTCAGCCAAAATTTGAAGCACCAAGTCGAAGAGATTTGAAGTCCCAATCAAAGTCAATCCTACCTACTTCGAAGCAATTGGAAAGCAATTAAACAGAAGGATCTAAAGTTAGAAGCTGTAATTCTTCCCGTTCTTCGACTACAAGGAGAAGTATATATATATATATATATTCTGCAATCAGTTGATAATTACAATGTCATTACTCATCAATGCTGCAAATTTTGTTTGTTTTTAATCACAAGAAAGCCACCAAATAGCCAACTTGATTGCCCTATTATGCAATGCAGTCACAAGAAAGCCACCAAAAATTCATTCATTCAACATTTGAAAGTAAGATCTGTACCGCTGAGCCAATCCAAACATACCGAGTGTGCCTCCTGTGTGAAGCATCACGGCCTTCGCACCTTCCTCGCGACTAAATCGCATACCCAGTTCCCAAGCAGCGAGAGTGTACACAGGATCAACAAGAACACCCGTATCCCGGGCAATTCTTTGGCATTTCTCGACTTCACCTTTCAACACTTTGCCAAATCTGTCTAAACCGGAACACAACAAGCAACAGATTCATTACTTAAAACGCCCAAAGATGGAGCGATCCAAGCTCCAATGCATTTAAAAATGACTATTGCTACAAGTTACTAGAAAATCAAGCAAAATTTTTTCCAGAAAGGATTCAATTACTTTCTTGGTAAGCTGCGTTCTACCCAGTGCACAACTCCACGTCCTTTGCTCAACAATGGGTCAATATCAGGGAGATTAAAACTCACACAAAACTCAGAAATTAGACTTTTCTCCTTTTGTCTATATCCCTCAATAGTGTCAGCCAGCATAACTGCAGTGACTTTCCATGGGAGCCTGAAAAAGCAACGCATCAAAGCTAAATATACAAAAAAGATGTAGATACAAACTATTTTTGAAAGGTCACAATTTGACCCAATTTAATATACAAGGATTAAGTTAGGGTCATGTAAGATGTTAAGAGTCTCACATCGAAAATATAAGAGAGAATATATGGGTTTATAAGGCTATGAATTAGACTAGCTAATTGATTAGATTCAGTCTTTCAGTGTGGTTTGGCCCATATGCATTATAGCCCAGTTGAGTGACCCTAGTCCAATCTTAGATTATACCATGGTAGGTTTAAAGGGAGGGTCCAATCCCAAGCCCCGCTTAGATTATACCATGGTAGGTTTCAAGGGAGGGTGTCCATAGCGGTTGTCCCACTTGAGGGGGAGTGTTAAGAGTCACATGTGCACTATAGCCCATCTGCATTAAAGATGCAAATACAAACAAATAAACAAAAGACACTCACCCTAGGCAAACAGCTCCAAGTCCTAAACCAATGGCAGTAGTACCTGTACCAGCATCTACAATAATCTTAAGTGCCTGATTTCTTCCAAATAAATGTTCCTGCGACAAGTATTCCACAAGCCGTATGGCACCTGAAATGAGCATTTTGTCAGAAACATCGGAGAGAATCAACATCGTTAACTATAAGTGGCAGGATCCTAGAAACATCGGAGAGAATCAACATCGTTAACTATAAGTGGCAGGATCCTAGAAACATCGGAGAGAATCAACATCGTTAACTATAAGTGGCAGGATCCTAGAGAACGATATCTGAAGAAAAACAAATGTGATATGACCTTTCATCTTTCCCAAAACATTCTAGTGCATTATCAGACAAGGAATGAGTATGAAAACAACATATGCACTTAATACTCGGGAAAAACATTCATGTTAGACATTATTTGTTTCAAATGGAACTCAGTCTAATCGCATAGGAGCCATGTAACATAGTAAATCTGTTATTAACTGATAAGTTACCTAGTAATCCTACAACATCTCCAGCACCTTCATTAATAATTACCACCTTCTTTTCACTTTCTGCATATGAACGAGTAGCCACTTGCACAGACTGTTCATCGAATCCTTGATTAGAGAAAGAAGCGTCCAGAAGTTCACCAAGTGAGACAATTGACCCATCACTGCCTGCCACCTTATTGGCATGCATTGCGAGCATTTCTTCTCTCTTGGCATATAGAGATCTTGGGACATATCTAACATTGCCATACATTGTGGAAATTAAATTGTAGCCAGTGAGAGTTTCAGGCTGTTCACCACGAAGAAGTAAATGTGACTTCAGTCCCCTCTCAGCACATGAGACAGCTGCATTACAGGGAAAAAAAACACAAAAAGTAAAGAAGCATGCTCAAATAAAGACTCAACTAATGTGACCAATGTTGCATAAGGTACTAGTCGGGCGCTGGGGGCGCCTAGGGCCGCCTAATTAAAAAAAAAAAAACTGCTCAAAATGACGTCGTTTTGAGCAAAAGAAACAATGAAAAAGAAAAAAAAGGGTTCCGGCTGACTCAACTGCCTAGAGGCCGACCGACTAAAAACCGCCTGCACCCCTTTTCGCCTCGGCCTAGGGGCGCCTAGCGCCTAGGCCGACTTTTAGTTTTACAACACTGAATGTGACAAACAAAACCAATTAAAATGCTGTACATTGACTATTACATCACATACCAACAGCAGCTGCATGTGCACTTTGACAACCTCCACATGTAACCTAAAAATGTTGCAATCAGAAATTGTTTTATACTTTGGTCCCATCATTAAACTAAATTTCTGGAGATATTAGTTATTCCGATTTTCCTATTTTTATCAATCAATACTAATTTATCATGAATATTCTCATTTCTGTTTGTTAAGAGTCCCACATTAAAAAAAAAACATATGAGTTTATAAAGCCATGGGTTAGACTAGCTAATTGATTGGATTCAGTCTTTTAGTGTGGTTTGGCCCATGTGCATTATAGCCCAGTTGAGTAACCTTAGCCCAATCTTAGATTATAAGACTGTTCAAACTTTTGAGTTGGCAAATCCTAATCTCATTTGGAGCATGATCTCACCAAATGTTCTCTATAGGTATGCCACAATCTCACCTAAGATATCAGAATCACCCATCACTACCCACTAGGCACTAGCACCCCATTTCAAAGCTATTAAGTTGGTCCTTGGGTAGGAATCCCAAAAGGATGCCCAATTTAATACAGGCGCTAACCATTGACATAAGCACGCATACATTGAATAAGCAATTTAACTTACCACATCAGTTACTGAATTATGTTGGAGGAGAGGGAGCAGCGCATCCAGTTTCCTTGCCTTGTTACCATTCACCAGGGGATGCAACAAATCATCCCTCACCACATAAAAGGATGGCTGGCAGTGGTTTTCAGCCACCAAGCTCTTGCCCAAGGAAGGTTGTTGAATATTGACAAAAGAAACATTATCAAAAGCATCTCCCTGCTCTCTGTACTGATTTGATACCATTATTTGGTGAATTTGGGTAGCAGCGCTCCTCAGTGCCCATTTTCTATTGAGCAATTTTGAGACAAACTCCTCGTTATGCACACTGAGTTCCAAAGCACCCTGAAAAAGGGCAGGAAATCTTCAACTTTCCTACAACCTTATTTTCTGATTGCAAGTTTCAACAAGAGTTAAAACATACATAAATACAAAGACCCGTAACACAATAAGAAAGTCTATAAAATTTTAAGCACTACTAGTCAAAGAGAAATTGACACTAACATCACTAAGTCTTCTGCTTAGTGCTCAGTTAGCTTAGCTTAAGCTTCAACCAAAAGAAGCTATTTTTAAAAACCTTCAACTACCTTCTCCAAAAAATTGGCTTTGCTTCTTATTTAACCTTAAAGGCAATTTTTTAATTTTTTTTTTTTTAAATTCTAATAGTGTTGGCCTATAAGTTTCAATAAGCTTTGGGAAAAACAACCACTTGCGTCAATTTAGTCCTCAAACTATATCCACCACACACAGAAGCAACCCTAAACTTTCATCTTCATGAACCAAAATATTTCCAAATTTTACGTTCGGATGGAATACCATTCAGATAAAGAGAACATCACCGAACCTAAAACTGATAAAACAGACAATGCCTTTTTGGAGAATAGAAGAAATCACACAATTGCAGCTACCATAAAATTCTGGCTATCCATGAAATTTCTAAGGATGACAATATATACCAAACTGACCAACAAATACATGCTGCAAAATTCATGTAGATCTGCAACATACTTGAACTTCATAATCCATATTAAAGATACCATGAAACAATATAATCATGCCCAGAAAATAATAATAAAATAATACATTTTCTCCAAAAGGTCATCCTAATTTCTTCAATGAGTGTTTGTTATGTACTCAGGCATGTGCGTCACAAGGCGATTAGGGTTGTTGGAGGTTGTCTGCGGGTTGCCTGCATAACTTTAATTGGGGAACAAGATACTGGGAAAGTTTTGAGAGTTTTCCCACATCTGATTTTATCTTAAATTCTTGCGTGTCCCCTTTATTAGAATGAGAATCCCATTTTTACTGCATAATTCTGTATTATGGTTTGCTCTAATGGTCTACTGTAAGTATTGCAGGAAATGCTTTTTTATCGACACTTCTTGAGTCAAAGCAAGAAAGTGCGTGAGTATGCATAAACTTTAGTCGATATTTAATTAAACACAAAAAGATGTTTAGAACTAAATCAAGAAAAACTACTATAGTCGAGGGTAACTACTTGTGATATGTAGGAATAGAATTCAAGAAGAATTGGACATCTACCTACTATTACAAAGCAATGTATTTACAAAAAAAAAGTAATAGAAGAAAACAAGAAGAGAGAGGAATCCCAGCGGACCTGAATACAATTCCGAACAGACCCTCTACAATGAATTCTGCAGCTAAAAGTTAAAGTTGAAAGCACGCCATTTCTGGGCATCATTTTAAGTCTCATGTTTCGAAATCACAGATTCACAGGGGAAGAAGATGAAGGAGAGAGCGCTTGAGACAGTTGTACTTTCTGGACCAAAATACCCTTCAATTCCACGAGATGACTAAAATACCCCTGGCGTAGAGTCTTTTAATGGGGACTCCTCCGTCATTTCGACCTCTCAGCCAAATCAAAAACCCCAAGTCGTTTTAGGGTTTTACGAATATTTCATAATCTTCTTCTTCCTATCACTACGTGAGAGAATGAGAGGGTTTGCAATGGCCGCCGCAGCTTCAGAGCTGCAAGGCATGCCGGAGGCATTGGCGGAGGGAATGTCGGCGTCTGGGAGGACGGCGGAGAAGCTGAGCCTTCCGAGCTTGCAATCAAAGATGAAACGCGATCCGGATGTCTATGAATCGGAGTTGAGCTTAATCTACAGTCAATTCAAGTCGTTGGTGGAGCTCTTTGAGCAACAGGCTTCCCACAACTTCACCTCCCTCAGCGGCGTCGCCACCGATCCCACCGTTGCCAAGGACCTCGGCGACAGGGCCACGTTCTTGGCGCATGTCACTCCCTTCTACCCAAAACAGCTTCCCCAATTCCCTAAAGAGCTCGCTCAGTTTCTTCGTTCCTCATCCCGGGCTCTGCCTTCCCATCTCCGGGTTCATGTTGCCCAAGCTTTGATTCTTTTGATAAATCGTCAGGTATATATTTTAATTTTATTTGCAATTATGAATATCAGATAAGTATTGAGCAGTCCACCTGGTTCAGTAGTTAATATTTGGGAGAAGAAATTAAGGTTTGAAATTCTGCCGAGGCAGTGTAGGTATTATGCCCATTCCTTTTGTTCACTCACATTTGGCCATGTACATTGAGCTATTAAGTTACCGTGATTTACATATGCTCTGTCCGGCCGGATTCAACCTTTTGGGAGAAGATTAGTATTGAGCATTTATATGAAAAATAAAATACATAAAATCTGTCTTTTTCTGTTTGGTTGGAATTGCCGACTTGCTTTACCATAAAATGGTACTTGCAGAATCGTTGTATAGAAGCTTTGTTTTTATACTTTCATCTTCTGGATGAAAATTTTGGGTCTTACTTTTTTTTTTTTTTTTTTATGACGAGGGAGTAAACCCCCCAAAGCTAGCCGGCAAAAGACCACAAGGAAGTAACCCATAGCGGGCTGGCTCAAACTAAGGGGCAAGGATTTGAGCTTGTGACTTTGTGGTTACAAATGTGGATCCATTGCCATCTTGGCTGGGGTTAACCTGTCTTTTACTATTTTAATTGTCTTGGTGATTGGGGCCAGAGGAGTACATTTTCCTGATTCAAAAAACAAATATTTCTGACTCTGATCAATGATGAAGGCATTAATATTAATACTCCATAGTTATGTATTTTTGGGTATTCAAGATGATTGACATTCGGGAGACACTTGAGTTATTCATGGAGCTGCAGACCCTAGGAGACAAAGTTCTAAGGAAGTTGGCTTTCTCACACGTTATTCATAGTATCCGGCGATTGAATCAGAAGCATAAAAATGATTCAAAGAACAGAGAGCTTCAGAGTATCTTATTTGCTATGCTACAGGTGCTTACTTGTTTTTCATGTGAACTGTTGAGTGCCATGCTGAAGTTATTTGGTTTTGTGTGATTAATGTGTGAATAGTCATCATTTTACAGCAAGAAGATGAAATAAAAGCAAAAAGAGCACTCATCACGCTCTGTGAACTCCACCGGAGAAAGGTTTGGTTTGATGAAAGGACAGCAAATGCTATATGTATGGCATGCTTTCACACATCATCAAGGTTGCGATCATTGTTATGCACTCAAATCTTTTTCAATTCCTTAAAAACCAAACTCAAAAGACTTGGTCGTCTTTGTTTTCTGGAAAATTTTCCATTTACCCAGAAAAGTAGAAAATGAAAATGGAAAAATGGAGTTTGTGATCAATTGGATTTTGTTTTTCTAAACTGAAAGAAGAACACTCTTTTCCAAATTTTCCCACTTTTTGCTTTCCATTTGGAGACTAGAAGAGTAGGGAAGTAGTGGAAAAAAGGGAATTAAAATGTCAATAACTTTTCCATGCTAAACAGCCCCTAAACATTTTTGGATTCTTCAGGATCATGATTGCTGCCCTTTCTTTCCTTATTGATTATGAGAAGATTGAAGATGATGATGATAGTGATGATTCAGACAGTGAAGATGACCAGAGTGCTCAACAGCCTATGGTTGTGGTTAATAAAGAGGCCATTTATAAGGTTGGTTGTCTTCTACATCCTTTCTTGACCATATGATTCTTTAATTGCAGTTACAATGTGCACTTAGCATGAGACCATGAGAGTTATATCTCATATTAACCAGTTACGGAGATGTTGCATTCTTTTCTTGAGGACCAGTATTTTACTATTTGATGTTCTGATTTATCCTGAAAATGACATGGAATATGTGATATTATTATGCTTTTCATGAAATTGGTTTTTCAATTTTTGAAGTTTGCTGATATTTTGTTATTGTAACTGTAATTGTAATATACTTTTATGCTTATTTTTTGCAATTCATTGATTGTTAGGCAAATAATAAGGGTACAACATCTAGCAAAAAGAAAAAGAAAGCAAAATTACAGCGTATCGTTCGAAATATGAAGAAGCAGCAGCGGTTACAAGCAGAGCAAAATAACAATTCAAACTATTACTCACCACTAAACTACTTGAAAGATGCGCAGGTTTGTCTTCTTCTTCTCTTTTGGCAATCTAAATTAGAGGCTGAATATAAGTCCATATTATATTTTCCCTGCAGGGATTTGCAGAGAAGCTCTTTTCTCGTCTTCAAACTTGTAATGAGAGGTTTGAGGTATAATCTGCAATGCCTCTCCACTTTGTGATATTATATTATTTATTGAATCCATATGAACATGCAAAGTTAAAGAACTTACACTATTCTTTCATTACTCATTTACTCTATTTTTAAAATTAAAGAACTTTTGCTTTTCTTTAAGTACTCTATTTCCGATCTTCTATTTATTTATTTATTTTGTTATATTTTTTCCCTTCAGGTCAAGATGATGTTGCTAAAAGTAATTGCACGAACAGTTGGGCTTCATCACTTAATCTTATTAAATTTTTATCCTTACCTTCAGAAATATATTCAGGTGCCCTACTTTCTATTATTCTTACATGACGATGAGCTTTACATTTTTGCTTAAGTTATGTTCCAATACATACAGCCTCATCAACGAGATGTGACAAACTTACTTGCAGCGGCTGTTCAGGCCTGTCACGATATGGTACTGTTACCTTCTGTTTTATTTTTTAATGTAATTTTACTTTCTAGCTCAATCTTTTCTCACACATGAACTGTTCTTGCACAGGTGCCACCTGATGCTGTTGAACCGCTATTTAAGCAAATAGTCAACCAGTTTGTTCATGACCGGTCAAGGCCTGAGGTATTCTATTATTCTTTCAAAAAACAAATAATGCCTCTTGAGTAATGTGGATGACACTCCTTGCTTAAAAAAATTTCAGGCAATCTCTGTTGGACTGAATGTAGTCAGAGAAATATGTTTGCGAGTGCCTCTGGTACGTATACCTTGGCTCTTGACCCCGACAATTCAGCCTGTCTCTGTTACTGGATCTCACTGTTTCCCCCTTTATTTTTAGTTAATGACGGAGGACCTGCTGCAAGACCTTGTATTGTATAAGAAATCACATGAGAAGGCAGTTTCTTCAGCTGCTCGCTCACTTGTTACATTATTCAGAGAGGTACAAGTGTCTCTTTTATTGCCTCACTTGTGCTCGGTATGAAAGTAAAAGGTCCTTCTGTATGCACGTACTAACCAGAATAACCTGCAGATTTGCCCTTCACTACTTGTCAAGAAGGACAGGGGACGCCCTTCTGACCCAAAAGCAAGACCCAAGGCATTTGGTGAAGTGCAGATTGCCAGCAATGTTCCTGGCATTGAATTGTTGGAAGAGAATGATGAGGAGAGTGATGATGATGTTGAAAGTGGGTCCATTGGCACATCCAACAATGATAATGAGAGTGATGAAGATGTTTTTCCTGTTGAAGAAGATGACCAGTCTGATGAGGACAATGTTTCTGAACATGCATTCAGTGACTTTAGCATTGATCATGGAACTGATGATGATAATGACAGTACTGATGAGCAAGAAGATGAGGAATTGTCTGATGATGATGCAGATGACTACAGAAGTGAGGAGGAGGAGGAGGATGAAGAGGAGCTTGACGGACCATCCAGTAGACAAGGTACTAGTACTCCAGGTTCTGAGGATGGGGAAAAGAAATCCAAGGCACAGAAAAGGAAGTTCGATGATTTTGATGAAGAGCTCCAAGCTGCTGGTAAGAGTCTTAGGGCTCTAAAGAAATTAGCAGGAGCAAAACTTGGAAATGACTCCTCAGATACACAAGATGGTATTCTGTCTAATGAGGATTTCCAAAAGATCAAAGAGCTAAGGGTATTCTACACTTTACTGAGCATAGGTGGATTTTGATTGTTAATCAATATCTTTGATTGATATAATGTTCCTTGCATTTGTTTCTAGGCTAAAAAGGATGCAAGGAATGCTTTGTCTCAGCATGGATTTAAACTTCCCAACTCAGACCAACTCAGTTCAAAAAGAGTTGATGCAGCAAAACTTGAGGTTTGTCTTCTCTTTCATAAATGTTGTTTCTTGTGTTCATTCTGGTGCAGTTGCTAATGCATTTAATTTGTTTGGGGTACTGTATATGTGAGGAGAAAGGAAAAGCATTTTTAAACCGTAATCTTTTCAATTTTTTTTTTTTAAATGTGTGCCTGTTGAAATAGACATGTAATGCTATTATTTCTGAATGTTAGGCTAACATAAGAAAGAAGTTAAGCAAGGAAGAAAAGCTAGCATTAATAAAAGCTCGCAGGGAGGAGCGAGGAAAGTACCAGGCTCGTTCTGCTGTGAAACAGAAAAAGGTATGTTTTCCTATTCATTCTTTAATTATTAAAAATAAAAATAAAAATTCTTGTGTAGCCTCTCTATATCAATGCTCAGATGCACTCCAAAGAATTGCTTGCATTATTTTCTCGTGAATATAGTGGTTGTTGGAAAGAATCATACACTCAAACACACTGCTCTCTGAAAGTATAATTTGTTTGCACCCCCCCCAGGGCAACCTCTAGGCTCTGATATATCTCTACCATCCTAGATCACCTGTCTTTGTCTTGCATTTTGCAGTCCATACTTACCCTTAACAGATTGCCATTGTCATTTGAAAGAACTTGTTTCTCTTTCTATATATCTTGCATTCTGATTATAACTCGCGATGCTAATTTTGGGTAGACTGGTGGTCAAAGCAATCTGCAAAAGGAACGCAAAAAACTAATGCCAATAGCTGCAAAGAGAGCCAAGGTTGCAAAATCAAGACAGGAAAAAAAGAAAAAGCAACAGCGAGCTGGCAAACAGTTCAGAGGGAGAAAAGCATGGAAATGACATACCACATATGTTTCCTACAATTTTGTGTTCCTCTCAATTTACAAAAATCATTGTATCATTTGTATTCAATTAGCGAAGAAATATCGAGTGATTATTCAGACTTTAACAGTGCTTTTTGGTAGATTTTGTGTTGTGCTCTTGCCTATAAAAATGAAATTTACAACTGAGTCAACTCATGTTGTCAGTCTCTTGGCTATCATAATCATAAAAATGAGTTACTAGTTTTGGTTCACTAGTTTTTTTAAATAAGTATTTCAAAGTATATCAAAGCAATATTATATAAGAGATGTTTATGCATAGGTAAATAAATGTTGAATTTGTTTATTTAAATTGGTAATTCAAAGTATATAAATTGAAGATAATATATGAGAGGTTTATTATAATTGTCACTAAAATAAATGTTTGCAACTTTGTAATAAGTAATAATGTTAATCTAAATACTTAGTCTTAAAGCGATAGTCTAAATAAATATTACTTTTGGTTTAAATTTTTTTAATTCTTCTTAATTCTCCTTAATTCTCTTTTGGGTAGCATTGTCATTGTTTTCATCTTCATTACATATGTCCTATCTTTGCTTTATATATGACTGAGATTTTAGTTGTAATATGAATTATTTAGTAGTGGTAGTTTTCCCCCTACATGTTTCATGTGTTGTGAGATGTGTCGTAGGTTATCATGTGAAAGTATTGAACAAAATATTAATATTTATTATATTTGTATAAAATACTTGGTAAGCATCTTGTGCTCAGATGGCATGTAGTGACCTCTCTCATGTGAGCCTCAATGAAGGCGTTGTTGACTCTTTGTGCTTCATTAGGTTGATAAAGTATGTTTGAACAGATACTACAATGTAATAGAGTCAATAGCATTAAAAAAATATATAAAATACTTGGTAAATATATATAACATGTTTTGTATTATAACTTTGATATTTAATTACAAGATAATGTAAAAAAGAAAACAATGAACAATGTAGTGAATATAATAAATTAATAAATTTGAAGGTAAGGAATCTTTGAATTGTACAAAATAAAGATAATATAACTAATGAAATTATATTTCTTTTAAATTTTTTTTATAATGAATATTTTTTTTAAATAAAGCATTATAGACATCTATTTCTAAATTAATTAAATGCATATGTATTGTTTTTTGTTGTAGCTACTAATTTATTTATAATTTAATAAGAGTAATAAAGTGTCGTACATACTTTTCATCAACAATAATGAAATCAATGATTTTTTTTATTTCCATTCCTTGTTGAAACAAATTGTTTTGAGAGTTTGTCAATGACAATTGCTACAATTGCTGTCAATAGAGGATGATAATAAATAATTCAAAATATATGGTTACAATAGATACTGTTATAATGACATAGGAAAAATTGACTTACAAATTTATTTAGAAGTTTTCATGCATTGATAAAATTCAGATGTGTAAACTTGTTCAGTTGGAGCTAGTAGGATGTTAACATTGTCAATTATTTAGAAAATGGTCCTACCGCTTTAGAGTCCCTGTGTAATTGTATTTATGATCAACAACTTTGTAGTAAGGCCGCGCAGTTTTGACAATGATGTAATAACAATTTTGTCCCATAAAAAATAATAGTATAATATTTGTAAAGTAATGTATAATTCTAGTATTCTACCATTATAAAAAATACAAAAAATATTAATACCATAATGACCTAAATATTCCAATAATGCAAAAGCATAATTGAAATAATAAGTTTTGTTCTAAATAATCAAAAGAAGATTAATTAAAAAAAAAACACTTAGCCTATTTCAAGATTATGTTATGATTAAAGTTTATGTTAAATTTTATATTATATATTTTTAATACATTTTAACGTATTCATAATATATGTTTAACAATTATGTCAACTTTAATTGGGATGGGGTTCGAACCTAAGACCTTTCTTATATAAATTAATGAGTATGTTAAAAATAATAAATAGTTAACGAAATATTCCGTTATTAAAGTTTATACTAACGGAATTTAGGGTTATTTAAGGGAAGAAAATAATATAACTGAGGGCAAATAAGGAAAATCATTAAAATATACTAAAATCAAAATAATATGAATCATTCATTTTAAGAAACAACTACTACCGACATTTTTTTTATTCCAGTTAAGGACCTAACATTATTGGCTCTTATTAGATTTCTAGATAGATATAAACCGAATAATATCTAACATTGTGGTAAAAACGTATTGAATGTGCTAAGTTGCTAACTAATTGAAATGATTAATATTTGATATATATATTTATAGACTCCCGTTTAGGTGCAAATGCGCGTTCAGGAGAGAAATGTGAACTATCTCGCTCACGTGTCCAGATTTAGGTGCACATATAGTTATAACTAGTTATAACTAAGTGCACCTAGGTGAAATGGGTGTACTTGTAGGTGAAAGTAGGTGCACCCGATCAATGAATGTTAACAAGGCAAAATTACATGCACTTATAGGTGATAGTAGGTGCACTTGTAAGTGATTTTACCTACACTTTTTAGTTGCAAAGGTGCACCAACTAATTGTACAAAGTAACACATTTATCTGCACCGAAGGACACATGTCGCACGTTAGATAGTTCACAGTTCGCACCACATCTCGACCCTATATATAGTAAGATACTTCAGTAACTCACACGATCATGCTTGAAGCCCCAAGCAAGCATGCTTGAAGCCCCAAGCAACTAAAAATGAAACTCAGTACCTAAAACAAATGAAAGCTGATAATAGCCAGATATAACATTGACAGAGGAAAGCTAATAATGTGTTTGGGCACACAGGCAACTCACCTAGGAGTGAGCAAACGGTCGGTCGATTACATAACCGACCGAATAACCGAATAACCGACCGTGGATTTTGACCCTCGTAACCGACCGAAACCGAACGATGGTGGTTCCATGACCGACCGATAACCGACCGTCGGTTATCGGTCGGTTACCAAAAAACCGAATTACAAAAAAATCAATCAAAATTCAAAAGTCTAAATTCAAAAAACAAACAAATACATACTATTTTGTTTGCTGCCAATGGCCCAATGCCCAAATTCAAAATTCAAAATAAATGCTACTAAGATTACTAGTTGTCTAGCACACTGGCACACTGTCAGTGGGCAGTCACAACTCACAAACAAATTAGTCTTACAAAAACAGTCCAATTGTCCAAGTACAAGTCACAAACAATCCAAACCAAAGTCACAATTAAACACATAAATTCATAGATTCCGTGAAATAACATTCTGAAAAAGTGTCAAGCTTCAAATCTTCAATTCCTTCAAACCTATCAAATGAAATATAATAAAACCATTAGTATTATTAGTGTTAATACAATAAAATAATAGCAACTATCAAGTGAGCATTTTACCTTACGATACTAGAACTCTTCCAACTTGGCAACTTCTATTGATCAATCACAGGCTCCAAACTAATCTTTGAAAATTCTAAAATCACATCAAATAATATAAAAATAATTAGATAAAGATAAATAAGAAATTATAAGTTTATAACTTGAATATTTGAACACAAAAAAAAAAAAAAAAAAAAAAAAAAAAAAAAGTAAAGAAAGGATGTACCCAAGTCAACTTTATCAATCTCTCCAGTTTCGTACTCAATTTCACCATCACTCTTCAGTTTCATTCCTTAGCCAATCTTGAGCACAAATGAGAGCTTGTACAACTCTAGGAGTTAAAGAACTCCTATAACTATCAAGAACTCGACCACCCGTGCTGAACGCTGATTCAGAGGCAACAGTGGAAATAGGTATAACCAATACGTCACGAGCCAAGCTTGAAAGGATGGGAAGTCTTTGAGCATTTGTTTTCCACCAATTAAGTATATCAAACTCATCATCCTCACCACCATTCTCAAGTTGTTCAGCAATGTACTTATCCAACTCTGTGATCTGATTAGCACAACCAATTTGTTCCAAATACTTTAAGAATTCCTTATTAACAGCTTTTGGTTTCCCTTTCTTTGGAGGTTGAGGTATAGAAGGCATTTCAGCACTTACAAGCTCACTTGATTGAAAAGTCTCATTTATTGAAGATGATGAAGATTCATGCAACCTCTTGTATTGATTAAACAAATCAGCCATAACTTCTCTAAGATTTTTAGACAATTTAGAGGCTTCGTCATCATGTGGGAGTGTGGTCCTTGAGACCGTGACTGGTGGCCGACTGGCCGTGACTCCGTGTGACCATATGGAAGTGGAAGGTGACCGTGTGACGTGCGACTGTGCCTGCCTGCCTGGTGCTTGTGGTGAAGAACTGAAGACGGAACACTCTTCAGTAGTTCAGTCTTCACTGAAGAGTGAAGACTGACGAGATGCGAGAGGCGAGAGCCGAGAGGGGAGCGAGAGTTGAAAATTTGAGATTAGGGATTTAGGGTTGTCTACTTGTCTGATGTCTCTTGTGACTTGTGAGTCTTGTCTGATTAAAGCTTATGGGCCGTGGGTTTGGGGCTTGGGCTACTGACTACTAAATATTAACTATGGGCTTGGTTTATATATCTAATATCTAATTTATTAATATATATAAATATTATATATCGGTTATTGGTCACCGACGACCGATAACCGACCTCCACTAACCGTATTATAATTTATAACCGGAAAACTGAAAAATTGATAATTTTTTAACATTGATAACCGTGACCGACCGAAAACTGAATTTTTTGGGCGCTGCGATTATCGGTTAGCGGTTGTTGGGCGGTTAACCCTAAACCCACCCCTCTAAGGGGTACATTAAAATATGCAAAAACAGCGAAAACACAAACTTAGTATATGAAACGCACATATGTTCTTTCTAACTTACATTCCCTTTAATACATTCAAATATATATATAACAAATTCGCATATATAGAAGAGAGAAATATAAATATACAAAACAAATACAAAAGACAAAGAAAAAAAGAGAAGTCTAGCAAAAAGAGAAAATCTCAATTCCAACATATTGAGAATGAAATTGTCACCAATTCAAATCAATTTATACCTAATCAACAAATTCAAATCAATTTATACCTAATCAACTGATTCAAGCTTCAAGAGTCAAAAATCAAAATATGCATCTGATTTTGACTATTGCTAAACCTAAGTTCTTCTGCCTTCAATTAACACTATCTTCTCTGAAGTCTCAGCCAAAATTAATGGCAAATTGGCAGAGGGGTG